AGCAGAGGAGGATTTTAATAATCAAGTGGATAGGATAACCCGGTCTGTGAACACCAGGCAGCCTCTTTCCCCAGCCACCCCTGTCATTGCCCAACGGGCTCATGAACGAAGTGGCTATGATGGCAGGAATGGAGGTTACACATGGGCATATCAACATGGACTTCCACTCACCAAGGGTGACCTAGCTATGGCCAATGCTGAGTGCCCAATTTGCCAGCAGCAGAGACCAACACTGAGCCCTTGATATGGCACCCTTCCTTAGGGTGATCAGCCAGCTACCTGGTAGAAGGTTGATTATATTGGAAATCTTCCATTATCAAAAGCGCATAGGTTTGTCCTCACTGAAATAGACACTTATTCCAGATATGGGTTTGCCTATAAGACTACCATCCATGGACTCATGGAATGCCTTATTCACCGTCATGGTATTCCACACAGCATTATTCTCACCAGGGCACTCACTTTATTACTAAAGAAGTGCAGCAGTGGGCTCATGCTCATAAAATTCACTGGTCCTACCATGTTCACCATCATCCTGAAGCAGCTGGATTGATAGAACAGAGGAATGGTTTTTGAAGTCACAATTACAATGCCAACTAAGTGACAATACTTTGCAAGACTGGGGCTAAGTTCTCCGGAAGGTGTGTATTCTGTGAGTCAGCATCTGATATATGGTACTGTTCCTCCCATAGCCAGGATCCATGGGTCCAGGAATCAAGGGGTGGAAGTGGAAGTGGCACAACCCACCATCACCTAGTTCACTAGCAAAATTTTTACTTCCTATTCCTGCAACATTATGTTCTGCTGGTTTAGAGGATTTAGTTCCAGAGGAAGGAACACTGCCACCTGGAGACACATCAATGATTCCATTAAACTGGAAGTTAAGATTGCCACCTGGACACTTTGGGCTCCTCCTACCTTTAAGTCAACAGGCTAAGAAGGAGTTACAGTGTTGGCTGGGGTGTTTGCCACAGACTATCAAGATGAAATCAGTTTACTACTCCATAATGGAGGTAAGGAGGAGTATGCATGGAATACAGGAGGGTCATTAGGGCATTTCTCAGTATTGCCATGCCCTTTTAAGGACAATGGAAAACTACAACAGCCCAATCCAGGCAGGATTACAAATGAACCAGACCCATCAGGAATGAAGATTTGGGTCACTCCACCTGGAAAAAAAAACCCATGACCTGCTGAGGTGCTTGCTGAAGGCAAAGGGAATACAGAATGTGTAGTAGAAGAAAGTAATCATCAGTACCAGCTATGGTCAGCTGCAGAAACGAGGAGTGTAATTGTCATGAGTATTTCCTCCTTCTTTTGTTAAAAACACATTTGTGCATGTATATACTTGTTCTAAGAAAATGTCTTCATTTTATCTCCTTTCTCCTTTATCATATGACATATTGTCTTCACATCAGCATTTAAGTATTGTTAACTTTATGTAACAGTATTTGGGTTGGGGATTGATGTGTTTCTGGTTGTACAAAGGATAGTTGTATTATGTTAGGTGTAATTATGACATTATTATTGTCTTTATTTGAAAATTATGTATGAACTCAGTAGATATATTTGGGTTGAGGTTGACAAGGGGTGGACTTGTGATGATAATACTGAGTGTCAACTTGATTGGACTGAAGGATAAAAAAGACACACCCTCCTGGGTGTGTCTGTGAGGGTGTAGCCAAAGGAGATTAACCTTTGACTCAGTGGATGGGAAAGCCAGACCCACCCTTAATCTGGGTGGGCACAATCTAATCAGCTGCCAGCATGGCTAGAACATAAGCAGGCAGAAAAATATGAAAAGAGACACAGGCCTAGCCTCCCAGTCTACATCTTTCTCCCATGCTGGATGCTTCCTGCCCTTGAATGTGGAACTCCAAATTCTTTACTTTTGGAACTCGGCCTGGCTCTCCTTGTTCCTCAGCCTGCAGATGGCCTATTGTGGGACGTTGTGATTGTGCTATATATATGTGTGTGTGTGTGTGTGTATATATACATATATTCCATTAGTTCTGTCCATCTAGAAAACCCTGATTAGGCCAGGCGTGGTGGCTAACGCCTGTAATCCCATCACTTTGGGAGGCAGAGGCAGGTGGATCAGGAGGTCAGGAGATCGAGACCATCCTTCCTGGCTAACACAGTGAAACCCCGTCTCTACTAAAAATACAAAAAAATTAGCCAGGCATGGAGGCGGATGTCTGTAGTCCCAGCTACTTGGAAGACTGAGACAGGAGAATGGCATGAACCCAGGAGGCAGAGCTTGCAGTGAGCAGAGATCATGCCACTGCACTCCACCTGGGCGACAGAGTGAGACTCCATCTCAAAAAAAAAACAACAACAACAACAACAAAAAAGAAAACCCTGACTAATGCACTAATCCACAGGAAGGAGAAAGAGGAAATCCTTCTTAAATTAGTCTTTGAAAAAGATGTGACAGATATAAAAAAACAAACAAAAAAATTATTCTTTGAAGCCCGTGTCACCCTAATACCAAAATGAGGGAAGGACATAACAAAACAAGAAAACTATAGAACAATATCCTTGATGAACATAGATGCGAAAATCCTAAACAAAATACTAGCTAACCAAATCCAACAGCTATCAAAAACATAGTCCACCATGTTCAAGTGGGTCGCATACCAGGGATGCAGAGATGGTTTAACATACACAAGTCAATAAATGTGATATACCATGTAAAGAAAATTAAAAACAAAAATCACATGATTATCTCAATAGATGCAGAAAAAGCACTTGACAAAATTCAGCATCACTTCATGATTAGAACCCTTGGCAAAATTGACATAGCAGAGACATCTCTTATGGTAAGAAAATCCCACTATTTCAAACCCATAGTCAACATTATACTGAAAGGAAAAAAGTTGAAAACAATTGCCCTGAGAAATGGAACAGACAAGAATGCCCACTTTCACCACTTCTATTCAACATAGCACTGGAAGTCTTAGCCAGAGCAATCAGACAAGAGAAAGAAATCGGGGACATCCAAATTGGTAAAGAGGAAGTGAAACTGTTGCTGCTGGCAGATAATGTGATCATATACCAAGAAAACCTTAAAGACTCATTCAAAAAGCTCCTAGAACTGGTAAATAAATACAGCAAAGTTTCAGGATACAGAAGTAAGGCACACAAATCAGTAGCTCTGTTATACAATAACAGTGAACAAGCTGATAATCAAATCAATAACTCAACTCCTTTTACAAATAGCTGCAAAAAATATACTTAGGAATCTACCTAACCAAGGGGGTGAAAGATCTCTACAAGGAAAACTGTAAAACACTGCTGAAAAAAATCATAGACGACACATCCCCTGCTCATGAATGGGTAGAATCAATATGTTGAAAATGATCATGCTGCCAAAAGCAATCGACAAATTCAATGCAATTCCTATCAAAATATCACTGTCATTCATTACAGAACTGGAAAAAGCAATCCTAAAATTCATATGAAACCAAAAAAGACCTGCATAGCCAAAGCAAGACTAAGCAAAAGGAACAAATCTGGAGGCATCACATCACCCAACTTCAAACTATACTCTAGTAAAGTTTGACTCCATAGTCACTAAATCTGCTTGGTACTGGTACAAAAATGGGCACATAGACCAATGGAACAGAATAGAGAATCCAGAAATGAAGCCAAATACTTACAACCAACTGATCATTGACAAAGCAAACAAAAACATAAAGTTGAAAAATGACATCCTTTTCAACAAATGGTGCTGGGATAACTGGCAAGCCAAACGTAAAGGAATGAAACTGGCTCCTCATTTCTCATCTTATACAAAGATCAGCCCAAGATGAATCAAAGACTTAAATTTAAGGCCTGAAACTGTAAAAATTCTAGAAGATAACATTAAAAAATCCCTTCTAGACATTACTTTAGACAAATACTTCATGACCAAGAACCCAAAAGCAAATGCAACAAGAACTAAAATAAATAGATGGGACTTAATTAAACTAAAAAGCTTCTGCACAACAAAAGAATCAGCAAAGTTAACAGAAAACCCACAGAGTGGAAGAAAATCTTCACAATCTATGCATCCACAAAAGACTAATGTCTAGAGTCTACAAAGAACTCAAACTAATTACGAAGAAAAAATAAACATCCCATCAAAAGATGGGCTAAAGGCGTGAATAAACAATTTTCAAAAGAAGGTATACAAATGGACAAGAGACATATAGAAAAATGTTCAACATCACTAATAATCAGGGAAATGCAAATCAAAACCACAATGTGATACCACATTACTACCACAAAATGGCCATAATTAAAAAATCAAAAAATAATAGATGTTGGCATGGATGTGGTGAAAACAAAACACTTTTACACTGGTGGTGGGAAGGTAAACTAGTACAATCACTATGGAAAACAGTGTGGAGATTCCTTAAGGAAATAAAAATAGATGTACCCTTCGATCCAGCAATCTCACGACTAGGTATGTAACCAGAGAAAAAGAAGTCATTACACAAAAAAGATACTTGCACACGTATGTTTATAGCAGCACAATTTGCAATTGTAAAAACATGGAACCACCTCAAACACCCATAAATCAACAGGTGGATAAAGCAAATGTGATGTATACATCCACATACCAGGGAATATTACTCCCAGCCATAAAAGGAACAAAATAATGGCATTCACAGCGACCTGGATGGAACTGGATGCTGTTATTCTAAGTGCAGTAACTCAGGAATGGAAAACAAAACATGGTATGTTCTCATTCATAAGTGGGAGATAAGCTATGAGAACACAAAGGTATAACGATGATACAATGAACTTTGGGGACTGAGGAGAAAGGGTAGGAGGTGGGAGAGGGATAAAAGACTACACATTGGGTACAGTGTACACTGCTTGGGTGATGAGTGCACCAAAATCTCACAAATCACCACTAAAGAACTTATTCATGTAACAAAACAACACTTGTTCCCCAAAAACCTATTAAGATAAAAAAATTGAAAAATAATCAAAAAGAGAAAAATCACGAAAACTCTTAAAAACCCAAATAAATAAGTAAATAAATAAATATATAAATAAATGAAAGATGAGAATCTCTTCCACTATAGAGGGAATCAGAGGCAAGAGATGAAGAAGCAAGAATCCCGATAAGCCATCACAGAATCTCCTGTCACCTTAGATGAACATTGCCCCTAAAGTTTGATTTTGATGCACAATACATTGAAACTTGAAAATAAATACAAAAATAAAATCAGAAAAAAATGGCCTAAGGATCCTCAAAGATAGTAATGAGCCCTCTATGGGATGGGTACAATTCAGCAACAACAGTGAGAATCTCAAAAGAAGTGTGCAGAGTGAAATAAGCCTGAACAAATGGGAGGATAACGTTTGATAACACTGATACATTCCAGAAAATGGAAACCAAACAGTAGTGACAGAGGCAGATCTGCAACTTCCAAGGAGGGTGTTGGGGGAGGAAGTGAGGTGACAAGGGTCATGAGGAACTGCTGGGGTTGGTCACAGGTTGTATAGCTCCCGGTGCTGGTGATGTTTTCAAGGATCCAGAGAAATGCCAAAATTTGTCTAATTCCCTATTGTAAATATGGGTGGTTTGTTATATGTGCATTATTCTTACATGAAAGGAGTTTTATTAAAAAAAGAATAGGCTTGAGAGAAAGGAAGCACAGGGATTCAAACTGAGGAACAGGAGGAGGAAGGCAGCACTCTGGAAACTCCTGGAAATGGGGAAAGGAGGATGACGGAGACACAGGTTCCCCATCAGAGGTGGGTCTGTGATGACACAGCTGGACCTGCCACCTCAGCCCAGGACTTCAGTGCAGACACCCTGTGTCCCAAGCTGCAGGGAACAGAACTTTCTGTTTTCTGGACACCCTGTTCCTGACTCTGAGGACTAAAGGGGAAGAGGAGCCTCCATTCTCAGGCAGAGCCCTGGATGCCCCTGGATCCATGGAGGAAGCTACAGCAGCAGAAGCCGCAGGCCAGGCCTGAGCAGCAGGTGCCAGGGCTCACCCTTCGGGCAGAGGAGGAAGGGGGTTCTTGTCTCACTTCCCCCTGGCCCTGGAGCACTGTGGGACTGCTCAGGCTATCATCCCATGCTGCGCAGTAATAATCAGCCTCATCCTCGGTCTGGAGCCCACTGATGGCCAGGGAGGCTGAGTTGCCAGACTTGGAGCCAGAGAATCGGTCAGAGACACCTGAGGCTCGTTGATCATCATAATAGATGAGGAGTTTGGGAGCCGTTTCTGGGAGCTGCTGGTACCAGGATACATCATTACTTCCGATGTTGGAGCTGCTTCCAGAACAGGAGATGGTGACACTCTTCCTGGTGGCCTCAGACGCTGAGCGAGGTTGAGTCAGCACAGACTGGGCCCAGGACCCTGGAAATGAGAGAGACACAGACATGGTGATTGACAAGAGACAAAAGGAGACAAGAAGAGAAAGCAGGGTCCTATGGGCTTCCCAGGGCCCCTCTCCTGGCCCCAAATCCTGTCACCTGCACAGTGAGTGAGGAGGGTGAGGAGTAGAGGGAACCAGGCCATGCTGGAGATTGTCCTGAGTCCTGCCTTCTGTACCCACAGCTGAAGCTGCGCTTCACCCAAATCTCTCCCTCTCTTCATACTCTGAGAGTGGGAGGTCCATCCATGCAAATCAGACCCCCCAGCTTTGTGACCCCGCCCTGAGCCCTGGGCCAGGCTCCTCGCTTGAGGATGCCAGGGGGTGGCAGGGGTGGAGCTTTGTGGTCCTAGGGGGTGGGGAGGACGGAGCTGTGAGCCCTGAGCAGAGGACACCAGGCAGGGCAGGTGGCTGCTTCTGCTCTGATCACCCCCAGTCTTCTCAGGAATGATCCCCCTGCGCCCTCTGGTGCCCAGACCAAGGAAAACGTTTTTATGATCAGGTGACCGGAGCTTCTCAGATACACGGCTTCCTCCCCGCATTCTGTCCACTGCCCCCTCTCTCAGGTCCAAGCCAGGCCAAGTGGTGGTGTGTCTCCTCCCTGTGACTTCAGGGCGGTCTTCACACTCTACTGAGGAGTCTTCAGACTCCTCAGGAGTGAATCTGTCCATGGCTCTTTGGCTGTACATTGTAGAGGACTCAGGTGGTGTCTACATAAAGTCCTATGTCAGGATCAAGCCCAGAGCAGGGACCAGCCCCATGAACTCACTTCCCCACCTGTGTGGGACACCGGGTCCTCTCCTCTCATATGGCTCCTTCCTGGTGGCCAAAGCTCCACTTCCTCTGTGGATCCTGCAGCACTGAGGCAAAAGGGAGCTCTTTCCTCTAGGATGCCCTGGGGAGGAATTCCCAGAGGGTTTTTCTGGTAAATCCTTGTTCTCTCTCTACTTCCCCAGATTTGCAGTCATAGTCATTTGGATACTGTGACCAGGGATCTTGCCTAAGAGTCTGTCCTCCAAGCACTGAATGCGCATCTGCAGGGGATCCTGACAAATGACTCTGGAGTGTTTCACTTATGAGCAAAAAGAGCAAAGATGCTCAGTCTTTGAAGATGGGAGGAATTAAAACTTCAACTTGGTTTGATCAGAGTCTGTCCTCAGGTGAGCCTGATACACGGTAGCTCTTAGCATCGAGCACCCCAGCTAGGATTTTCAGGGAAAAATTATGGTTCACATTTAGTAGTGAGTGTTGCAGGGCTGGGGGAGGGGGGAGGCGGGGGTGGGGCTTAAAGATGATAAATATTATTTATCTTTGATCTGTAATGACATCTAGAATCTAATAAGCTAAAAACAACCAGCTTAAGAAAAAACGTAATTCTGTTGATCAAAATGAAAAATGAAACAGGTTATGTCTATGACTGCGTGATTTCTAGCGTGATACACCCTGGACTCTTAACAAATATTTGTTTGGGGAATTTTATGGGGATGGAGGAAAACAGCTGGATGGTTATGTTGATATTTCCACTGGTGAATGTATCACCAGGCAGTTGCAGTAGAATGAGATTTTAAATGCTCCATTTAAAAATGGAATAGTGAGATTTATTACAGACATTTAAATAAAACCAGTCCATATATGGAACTGAAATATAATGTATGCTTTGTTTTGGGATTGCATTTCAAGCTTGTCATTACTTTAAATGTTCCTTTTAGTGTAAGCCATGTTCCTTTACATAATTTTTATAGTTTTAAAAAAATGGTTACTGCATTTACATAACACATCAGGCATATTAAGTTTTATTTATTTCCAAATAGAAACAAACTATTAGATCTGGGCTTCGCTTCCTGTTTCCTTCTCATTGCTGTCTCTTTGGTGATGCATAGATGTCCACAGTGAATTTTGTTTTCCTTTCCTCCCACTTTAATGAACAGGGGGTCACTGAGGCTGAGCAGTGTCTCACATACAGGACAAGGCTGCCCATGGCCCCCTCCCTGCCCATGGATGCGCTTCCTGGTGGGTGCCCCGTCAGCTCTTAGGCTGAGGGCAGAGAGAAGAACAGGTCCACAGCTAAGGAACCTGGACACCCAGAGAATCCGGGAGGGACCAGCTGGGACAGTGAGCCCTGGACAGAGGACACTGACCATGGATTTTTTATGTGATCCTCCTCAGAGACCCTCAGAGGCAGACCAAAACCTCAATCCCCATGTGTCTTTAGGGCCCAGGTCCTTCCAGGTCTTCCTTTTATCACCGCAGTAGGCCCCGGGCTGCCTCCTCCCATGAGTTGCAATGTACAGTCTCCTCTTTAGGCTGCACCCTCCTTATCACATCTGACCCCACACCCATCTCCTCATCCCCCCATAAACCATCCCCTGCTCACTTCCATTAGCATTTTTGCATCACTCTGGGATCACAGCCTCCCCGAGGATGTCTCTGCAGGATATCCATGTTGCAGAGAGCTCAGCCCCTTGACAGGACAGCTGGGCCTGGGCCACCCAAAACTGGCATCTCTCTTGCTTCTCTTCTACACCAGCTCTACGCCAAGCCAGATTCAGAACTTTCAGAATGCTGAGCCCACGTTTTCTTAAGCATCAGACTTCCTCTCTCACATCTGTGGGTCCCACAGGCTGGATTCTTCATTCTCGTCATTTCTCCCAGTTTCCGAGCTCAGGAAATGGTCAGCATACCTTCACCAAGAGGAGGGGACACCTGTGGGACCAATCTAAGGGCTCCTGGGCCTCTGAGTCACACAGGCTGGATTTTTTCTTGTCCCTACCTCATCCACACCCACCATGTGTGGGTAGCTCCTTTTGTTTCTAGAAACAATTTGATTCTGTTTGCACTCGGATACCAGTAAGAAAAGGAATTTTTTTTACTGAACTTTCTGGTCTGTTTCAGTAACACAAGTGACAGCAGAAGCCTTGGCATGAACTGGCGTTGGTCACAGGCAGGGATAAAGGAGGGACGGGCAGAGAGGATGAGTGAGGCGGATCTTCTCTCATTTCCCTGTGGAACAGTAACCTTTGGCAACATGGAGTCAGGATGCAGCTGTGTGACACTGATAACCAGCCAGGTCCTCAGGCTGGAGCCCAGAGGTGGTCTAGGAGGCTGTGGGAATAAACCCAGAGCCGGAGGATCAGGTTGGGACCCCTGAGTGACCATCACTGCTGTCCTAGGTCATAAACTTAGAGGCTCTCTCTGGGAGGCCTCCGTAGCCATTTCCATGAGAATGCCCAATGCCCTTTTTCTGCTGCTCCCCATGCAGAAAAAGGAGACCTTGAGATGGGGGCCTCCTCAAGAATTTTCCAGGGAGGAGTCACTTGAAGCAAATATTGGGCAGTTTCTGTACCAGAATATTCCACAGACTCACCACTAGACCCTGACTCAGGGAGAAGCTGCAATGGTGTAAGAGAGGAGAAGAGAACACAGTCAGGCCCTGAGCGATCAGGAAACCCACGCTCAGCAGTCGCCGTGGTCCTGAGTGGGATGAGCTGCAGGAAAGTCACATCCCTGGGACCTACCTCCCCCGTGGCCAAGGAGCAGCCTCAGCCTTGTCTCAGCCATGGCGGAGCCTCCCCTTGACTCTCTCATGTCCTACACAGAACTTTACTGGCCCCAGGTCTGCAGTTACCCTCAGACCTAACCCCATCTCCTGACATTTCCACTGAAATGCAGGTGCCCAGGACTGAGCCAGGTCAGCTCTGTATCTGGAATTCCTCCCTGACCTGCATCCTCAGGCAGCATTTCATATTTGAGTGGCTTGTTCCTGGGACACAGTAAGCCTCAGACAGCCCTGAGAACAGACTACTGGGGATGGAAGGGGAGGTCTCTGCTTGTACGCTGGAAGAGCAGAGTCCATGCTGCAGGGGACTGTTCACCTGCTACCATGTCCCCAGGCTCTGACCATGATGTGAGCTTGGAAAGGCTCATTTTGCTTCTTTCAAGAAAAAAGCCCAGCTCCACAGGTACTGATGTTAGCAGCACACATGGACAAGCAGCCAACGCTTCAGGGTCATCAGGTGGTTTTCTTTTGTTCTGTTTTTGTTTTACTGAGACATCAGAAAAATGGATGGGAAATTGACAGAAGAGCCTTTAACAACTAGAAAGTACATCCAAATGTAGTTTGTGCCTAGGCCAGTTATTTTAAAATTTAAAAATTGTTACAGAGCAAGACCCAGAGCAGGGTGAGATTTTGTCCCACTTCCCCATCTGTGTGTGTCACTGTGAGGACCGCTGCTGTGCCAAATGGCACAGTAATAGTCAGCCTCATCCTCAGACTGGAGCCCAGAGATGCGTAAAATCCCTGTGTTCGCCGAAGCATCTTTGGATCCAGAGAAGCGACTGGGGACTCCAGAGCCCTGGTGCTTATCTGAGTCTGATTTGTATCTCAGAAGATACCGGGGAGGACTCCCTGGCTTCTGCTGGTACCAGTATATGTAATAGCCAGCACTGAAGGTGCATGTGAGACTGGCTGATGCTCCAGGAGATGCTGAGAGGGAGGCCGGCTGAGTCAGCACAGGCTGGGAGAGGGAACCTGCAAACACAGACATTAATGGGTGCTAAGGCAGAAACCAGGGTCAAGTTGTTCAGGGATCTTCACCAGAAGAGTCACAATCGGGCTGAGGTGCTGGCCCTTGTCTCTGTGGTCTTTTCATACCTGTGCAGTGAGAGAGGAGCAGGAGGAGGAGAGGAGTCCAGGCCATGGTGGACACAGCCTCTTTCCCCGCAGTGGGGCTGGGCTGCCCCAGGCCTCCTTTTCTTCCCACCCTCTGCAGAGGAGGGACTGCTCATGCAAATGTGTTTCCACCCAGGGACTGCCCAGCCAGCCCCTGCCTGAGCCCTGGGGGTGCAGCTCAGCTCACTCTGCAGACTGAGCAGGAGGACGTTTTGCTTTTCCCCTTGGGAGGGCTCTAGAAGAAAACACCTACTGAAACCATCCACACGTTCCTGCTCAGGAGACTCTGCCACACCATGGGAGGACATAGATGCTAAGTCCCCATCAGTGAGCACAGGGTCTTAGCCCCTAGTCTTGGATTTCTTTGAGTGACTGGTCCTTACTGAGCAGCTGTGTAGGGACCATAGGGCAGTCCCCCTGCATCCCATGCTGGTTAGAGGACACTCACCTCCCCACGGCCCAGCTGATCTCTGCAGCTTATTAGTCACTGTCTCTACTCACACCTCCGTGGTCTGATTGCTGGACACTAATTCCACAAGGCTAGGCATGATTATTGTGATTTCTCACTCCCAGAATGAGTCTTGGTCCATGGGATGTAGACATGGGCATATATAACTTTTAAAATCTAGAAAAATCTAACTGCCCACATGTGTCATCAGGGTGGGCATTGTGGAGAAGGGGCCAGCTGAGGATCTGGGTTGAAGGGCAGCTAGGGGCTGTTCAAAAGGATGGCGAATAATGAGAATTTTGCAAGAAGAATAAAAGATCCATGACATGTTAAAGGCAGCAATTCATCAAAAGTTGCCTCTACAGTGGTTTCATACATTTTACAGAGCTTTTACTCAATGTAGTGATATGGGGAAATGAATAGCATTGGTAGACTTACTTTTACCAGTGAATAGTGTGACATATTTCTCATTTTATAAAGCCAACTATCATCTCCATAAGTAAAACTTGTTGTTTTCTACACAGTTGTGTCCCTGCTTGCCCTGACCAATTTTGGCTCTGTCCCCAGGGCAGCCTGTCCCAGGAACCAAGGACTTTCTGGTTTTTTTTTTTTTTTGGGGCAATTTGACAATGCTGTTGCTGTGGGCTTTCTCTGAGGGCTGACTCTGAGGAAACAAAGCTGCTTTCTCTCAATCATTGTCCCTGACCTGAGACCTGGGCCCTGGTTAGCAGCAGCCCAAGCAAACGTGACCACAAATGGTAAACAGCCCAGTTTTCCTGGTTGTAGGCGGTGCTGTAGGGTCGTGCTCCTAGGAGACCTGAAATATTCCTGTCTCACTTCCCCACAGATTGTAGCACCGTGGGGGCCTCCAGAGGACTGTCTAAATCCAACATTAATGACCAGCCTTGTCCTCAGCCTGGAGCCCAGATATGCTCAGGAAGGTCTCCTTTACAGACTGATCACTCAAGAATCAGTTCTGGATCTGCAGGTGGACATTTACGTCTATGGATCAGAGGTTTAAGGGCACTTCCTGTTCATTGTTGGTACCAGGACACAATCCCAAGACCCTTATGGCTGCTGTTTCCAGTGCAGGTGACTGATTTAGCCACAGACAGACTGTGCAGGCTACCAAGTGAGCCCTGACTGCCCAGGACCATGACAGCCAGGAGAGAGACACGGGTATGGGAGGTGACTCCGTGAGCCAAGGGAGAAAGGCAGACAGCCCTGGTCCTCCCAGTGCCAGCCCTTGCCTTTCTATCTCCAGCCTCCTGTGCAGGGACTGACGAGAGTGAGCAGCAGAGGAATACAGGGCATGGTAGAGAAGTCTCTGGAGCTCTGCTTCCTGAGCCACATAGATTAGGGGGAACAGCCCCTTTTCCCTGGCCCCTCTTAGAGGAGGGAACTCAATGCAAGTCTAACCTGTCCCCATGGTTGTTCCCCTCACGTAAGACGCTGAGTCTGATTATACTTCTTGAGGACTGGGTGGCTGCGAGGTAGCAGAGCGTGGTCAGTGACTCTTCAGGCACCCTGGGAGGATGCAGCTGCTGGACCCCATGAATACTAAATAGAGACAGGGAGACAGGTGTCTGGTGTCCCAGCCAAGTCCAGCCATGAACTCACTTTCCAGGCTGCACAGAAATCCATGGGTCTCTCTTCCTTCTTGATTCTCACTAGATCAGCACATAAGGCAGAGTGGTGGAGTTTGGGGAGAATAAATTAGCATGCTTGTGTGGTTCACTGGCTTCACTGGAAATGCAGAGGACTCCAGGAATCAGAAGGAGAAAAAAAAGGAGAAGGAGGAAGTGCTATCTGAGGCAAAATAGGAGAATCAGCCAACTCTGGGCTACTTCAGAACTAGGGCATCAGAGAGGCTCGTAAAAGAGAAAAAATAGGCTGGGCACAGCAGCTCATGCCTGTAATTCCAGGACTTTGGGAGGTTGAGGCGGGTGGATCAGTTGAGCTCAGGAATTCAAGGCCAGCCTGCGTAACATGGGGAAACCTCATCTCTACCAAAAATACAACATATTAGCAGGGCGTGGTGGTGTGTGCCCGTAGTCACAGCTACTTGGGAGGCTGAGCTGGGAGGATTGCTTGAGCCAGGAGGTGAAGGTTGTGGTGAGTCGAGACCACAGCCTGGGCAACCAGGCTGAGACCCTGTCCCTACCTCCTCCACCACCTCCAACAAAAAAAAGAGAGAAAATGTATGAATGTCCAATTCCAAGAAACAAAATCTGGAGAAATATCAATAGGTTTCCTGTTATAAAGCTCTTGATAATTCACTCAGGAGGATAGAGAGGAGAAGTTGTTGACAGAAAAAGGAGAGAGACCCAAGAAGGGAATTCAGGAATCAGAGATGTGGGAGGGGAGGGTAAGGATGGACCACACTACAGAAAAGACTGGATGAGAAGCCAGTAAGAATGTTGAACAGGAGCCAGAGGGGAGGTCAGGTTTGTTGTTTGTTTGCTTTTGTTTCATTTCCTAAAGAAAGGGGGACCTCTCTCCACTTTGCAGCTGTCCTCCCTGGTCATATGCCTGCATGGAGTGTGGGTTCTTCCATCTCGGCTTACCGCAAACTCCACCTCCCGGGTTCCAGTGATTCTCCTGCCTCAACCTCCCAAGTAGCTGGGATTTAAGGCTGTGCCACCACCCCCGGCTAATTTTGTATTTTTAGTAGAGATGGGGCTTTTCCATGTTGGCCAGGCTGGTCTTGAACTCCAGACCTCAGGTGATCTGCCCATCTTGGCCTCCTAAATTGCTGGGATTACAGGCATAAGCCACTGTGCCCAGCTAACTGTGGGATTCTTCTATCATCCAAACACATTCGTTCCCTATGTCTGAGATATATCTTAGGTTATTGCCTGCCAAGGATTTTCCTTATTTTATACTATTCTTATGAATTTGTTATTGCCATTTTGTTACTAGAGGCAAGGTCTCACTGTCACTCAGGCTGGAGTGCAGTGGCATGATCATAGCTCATTGCAGCTTTGAACTCCGGTGGTGAAGTGACCCTTCTGCCTCAGACTCCTAAGTACTGACGATGACAAGTGTGCCACACTAGGCCTGGCTAATTCATTTTTTATTATTTAAAAACACGTTTTGTAGAGAAAAGATCTTGTGATGTTACCCTGGCTGGTCTCAAACTCCTGGCCTCAAGTAATTCTTTTGCCTCAAACTCCCAAAGTGCTAGGATTACACACGTGAGCCTCTTCTCCTAGCTGGACTTGTTATTATTCAAACATATATGTGGATTTTGTGTGGTAGGAACATTTTAGAAATGCAGAGACTGTGTCCTCACCCCAGAGCCCCTGAATGAGAATCTGCGTTTTGTAAAATCCCCAGAAGATTCATATGCACAATAGAATTTGGGAAGTGCTGTGCTAACACATGCATGGAGACACTGGTGTAGTTTTGGATATAAATTATTCCTCGTGCCTTAATCTGTTATGCTTCTTCTTACATGAATCAGAAACTCTTGTTTCTGTATTTAGTGCATTGTGAAGTCAGGTATAATGTACTCAAGGCTATCCATTGAAAACTTCAGTCATTTTCTTTCTGACCTCACGAAATCCACAGAAGTTACCAGGAGTGTTTTAATAATAAGATAATATCACATCTTTTTTTGAGTAGCAACCAATGAGAATTCCCTAAAAATGATAATATTTCACTGGTATTCAAATAAAAATAAAGTTAGCAACTATTCAAGTATTTTATCCCTTTTAAGAAATGGAACACTACTTACATTAACCTGAAATGACAAGAGCATAAAGGGGTGTAAAAGCAGATGAAAAATCACAAGGCTTGATCACTGTTGTGGAAATACTAAGAACATGAAAGAATGCATCCAAATAAAAAAAGTAGTCACATTGATTGTTTGAAATAAAGAAGCTTTGCAGAGAACTTGGTGATTTTGAAATACTTTCTGATTTTATGTAATAGGCATGTATTGCTTTGAATGTAACTCAATAAATACATTTTAGTAAATTTAGGAAGTTTCTTCTCATTGCTCTCAGCTCAGAAAGCCCATCCTTTGAAGATGCTACTGAGATCCCTGCATGAAGGGGGTGTGTCGTGTGGTGCTTTATGCAAATCTTTACCACATTCACCACCTTTAGCACCACCGAGGTTCTCAGCCCTGCGAGCAGCTACACTGTGAGGGGACAGCCCATAGTGGCTGTGTGTTGCTAGAGGAAGCAGCTGCTCTAACATTTTACATGACTCAGTGAGCAACTGTGCAGGGTTCATTCAGTTTGAACCCCTTGAGCTTCTTATGATGCAGAAGACCTAGACCGCCCCCTGGTGGCTTTCCTGGACTGAGCATGTATTGTCAAATAACTATTGATTTATCTTTTTGACACTGACACTGTAAATTTCCCAGGCCAATTCACACCCATTACTTGTCTATTTTTTGCTCATCTCTATTTGTACTACTTTCTCTTCCTGTTGTTGAAATCCAGCCCCAGTGACTATAATTCGAGTTTAGTGTTACATGGTGTTAATTTTTATCTGAATGTCTTGAATGACTAAAGGAATTGTTTTAATGACCCATTGGCTTTTCGACACTATTTATGTTGAGTCTCATACTGGATAAGCAGCTAGCTAAAGTGAGCATTTCAAAATAATTTATTTTAAAGAATTTATTAAAAAGAAAACGACCAAATATTTAAGGTTGAAGTTTTATTGTCAATTCAGTGGAAATTCAAGTCACCCATAAGGATGATCAACAAGGTCTACATAAGCAACCCCATCCCCAACTCACACCCCCAAAAAAACTTACCTGGACACCAAGCTTCGGTGAGCTTTTCTGGCTGGCAATAATTCATGCATAGAATCACACATTGCTGCCAGGAGAATGCAGCATTGTCTATTACTTTACTGGGAGGGGACAACTGGATGCTTGTGCTTGGAATTCTCCTGAACTCTGCCCATGTGCCTCTTTCCTTGAATTATTTTAATCTGCATTCTTTTGTTGTAAAAAATCATATCAACAAACATCACAAGTTTCAGTGAGTGATGTGAATCCTTCTTGGGAATCATAAGAAGTGAAGTGTTGTTGGGGGAGTCCCTAGCTTACAATTAGCATCAGAATTGACAGTGCTGTTGGGACCTCTTAGATTTTGCAAGTTCTAATGTCACATTATTTTTAACTTCAAAACAGGTTTTATTTGGAAAGAGTTTCTCATTTTGTTAAAGCTGCAAGCAACCTTCTTTCACAATTACTCTTCTAGAGATCTAGTAGTTTCAGAGATCTCAGTGTTCAAAGATATATTTCAAAATTAATAACAAAGCCAAACCCACACCAAAAAGAAATCACTTTTAGAATGATTTGGAATGTACACTGATTTCTGGTATTCTCAGAAACAAGCTCACCAATTCCTTGGAAAACGGGTGCCATGGAGTCAGTGCCCACCAAAGGAAATGTCTTTAAATAAGTTAGTTACATGGACAAGATTATTCACTCCTTAGAAAATACATCAACGTAAGAAGTCCCAGCTGGCAGGGCATGCAGTACAGCACCAATTTCCCAGAGGGCTTAGTGGATCTTGGGATGACCAGTTGTTGGTTTAAGGCCCACAGAAGAAGAGCAGTCACCGAAAGTGGAGAAAGAATGTCGGCAGGCAGGGAACCTCTTGCAGTCGTACCCAGACTTTTAACTTGCTCAAAGGAGAGGCTGTGTTCCATAGCGTCTTTGGGAGAATATTTGAGACAGTTAAAAGCAACAACAACAAAAGCCCTACAGTATTATTTCCCAGAAAGTCCGTATCTGAAAAGAAAGAGGGACCCATTTGAGATTCCTATGGAGGACTGTATCTCCCATCCATTTCTGTCTCCAGCAGATACAAGACATCAGCCAGAATGTGCTCTACCACAGCGTCCCATCCCATGTCACTCAGGGCGGTAAGTGACATCATTTTGAGGATACTTGAAGCACAGTCCAAAGTTAATGAAAACCATGCAGTTCTTGTCCAGTGTGATGGCTGGAAGGTAGACACCCTCAAAAGTGTTTCTGTAAGCCACACCTTGATTGATACCTTTTTATAAAATATTATCTCACTACCGGGAGTCTGTTTTAGGTTCTTCTCTGCTTTAGCAACAATGTCTTTTTCTTCAAAATACGAATAATTCTTGAACTTTATCAAAGCCTTACGTTCATAAGTATTAGGTATGACTTGGTTGTTTCCATTTCTTCAGAAAGAGTAGTGCAAAATTTCAGATGTCTCCCTTCCATAGCTTGAAAAGTAGTGTTTGTCAAGGGACTGGTGAAACTTGGATCTTTTTTGCTCTGCAAAGAATAACTAAATTTACTCATTGTTTAAACAATGTTATTTAGCCAAGTAATTATTCCAAGTGTCTGAATGGTCATCATGCACTCCCCGTATTTATCAATAAATGGTATAATATCCTTATCTTTAGAGAACATTGCCTTTAAACATTCGTCCCATGTTTGGGACTACCATGTCAGGTTAGACAAAGCAGTAAAACACACTTCCTTCATGTTTGCTTGCTATTGGAGGAAACGGATACTACTGCTATGATAACATACACTGCAATGAAAACTGTAGTTGGTCATGAGGTAAACAGGATGAGGTATCTATGCAAGACTTATCAACTGTGAACCATTTTGTACAGAAGCAGATGCCCCTCTCCAGCTGGAGGGGCTGCTACCTTGCCAACAGCTTCATCTCCCCCTTTTGGCCACTTTTGCATTTGTGGCTGCTCCTGGGCTGGGTTGGGCACCCACCGCTAACATCATGGCCACCCCTAGGCTTTCTCATATTATTCTGAGTCACCTGTAATGAGGTACCTCTGACTGTCTTAACTTGTTAGGATGCTGCAGGGCTGGCATAAAAGGAAGGGTCTTCTGTGTGCTGTGGGGCTGGAATAAAAGGAAAGTCTGTCTTTCCTTATTGTGCCTCAGTCTCATGAGTAGCTGCAATCACCGAGTGTGCCACTCACCCAGCAAATTTTTTTATCTTTTTTTTTTTTTAGTAGAGACAGTGTTTCACCACGTTGGCCAGGTTTGTCTCTAACGACTCCTGACCTCAGATGATCCGCCGTCTCAGCCTCCCAAAGTGCTGGGATTATGGGCGTGAGATACCCTGCTGGCCGTATTTTACTCATTCTAATGATAAAATTGGAATTTTTTTTTTAAATGTATGAGAATGTTCATAGTAGTTTTATTCCTGATAGCCAAAAAAAAAAAAAAAAAAAAACTGGAAATAATCTACATGTTCCTCAACTGGTGAATGGTTAAACAAGCTTGATACAACTGTACCATGAAACATTACTCAGCAATAAAAAGAAACAAACTATATAATTGATACAACACAACTCAGATATATCTCAAGGAAACTGCTCTGTGAAAAAAAAACCTATGTTGAAAGGCTACATAATATATGATTCCATTGTTATAATATTCTTTTTTTCCCATAAGTTATTGGGAAGATGGTATTTGGTTACATGTGTAAGTTCTTTAGTGGTGATTTGTGAGATCCAGGTGCACCCATCACCCAAGCAGTATACACTGCACCATGTTTGTTGTCTTTTACTCCTTGCGTCTCTCCTGCTCTTCCCCCCAAGTCCCCAAAGTCCACTGTGTCATTCTAATGCCTTTGTGTTCTCATAGCTCAGCTCCCACATGTCAGTGAAAACATACGATGTTTGGTTTTCCATTCCTGAGTTACCTCACTTAGAATAGAGAATAGTCTCCAGTCTCATCCAGGTCTCTGCAAATGCTGTTAATTCATTCATTTTTATGGCTGAGTACTATTCCATAATATATACATACCACAGTTTCTTTATCCACTCGTTGATTGATGGGCATTTGGGTTGGTTCCATGATTTTGCAATTGTGCTGCTACACATATGTGTATGCAAGTATCTTTCTCAAATAATGACTTCTTTTCCTCTCGGTAGATACCCAGTAGTGGCATTGCTGGATCAAATGGTAGTTCTACTTTTAGTTCTTCAAAGAATCTCTGTGCTGTTTTCCACAGTGGCTGTACAAGTTTACATTCTCACCAGCAGTGTAGAACTGTTCCCTGAAAGCTGCATCCATGGTAACATCTGCTGTTTTTGATTCTCCAATTATGGCAATTCTTGCAGAGTGAGGTGGTATCACATTGTGGTTTTGATTTTTATTTCCCTGATCATTAGTGATGTTGAACATTTTTTCATGTTTGTTGGCCATTTGTATATCTTTTTTGAGAATTGTCTATTCATGTCCTTAGCCCACTTTTTGATGAGATTGTGTGTTTTTTTCTTACTGGTTTGTTTGAGTGCATTGTAGATTCTGGATATTAGTCCTTGGTCAGATGTATAGATTGTGAAGGTTTTCTGCCATGCTGTGGGTTGTCTGTTTACTCTTCTGACTGTGCCTTTTGCCATGCAAAAGCTCTTTAGTTTAATTAGGTCCCAGCTCTTTATCTTTGTTTATATTGCATTTGCTTTTGGGTTTTTGGTCATGAAATCCTTGCCTAAGCTAATGTCTAGAAGCATTTTTCCAATGTTATCTTCTAGAATTTTTATAGTTTCAGGGGTCTTATGTTTAAGTCTTTAATCAATCTTGAGTTGATTTTTGTGTAAGGTGAGAGATGAGGATCAAGTTTCATTCTCCTACATATGGCTAGTTAATTACCCCAGCACCATTTGTTGAAAATGGGGTCCTTTCCCCATTTTATGTTTTTGCTTGCTTTGTCGAAGATCAGTTGGCTATAAGTATTCAGGTTTATTTCTGGGTTCTCTATTCTGTTCCCTAGGTGTCTGTGCCTATTTTTATACCAGTACCACACTGTTTTGGTGACTATGGCCTTATAGTATAGTTTGAAACTAGTGTGTGATGACTCCAGATTTGTTCTTTTTGCATAGTCTTGCTTCGGCTCTGCGGGCTCTTTTTTTTTTTTTTTTTTTTTTTTTTTTTTTTTTTTTTTTTTGGTTTCATGTGAATTTTAGAATTGTTTTTTCTAACTCTGTGAAGAATGATGGTGGTATTTTGATGGGGATTGCAGTGAATTTGTAGATTGCTTTTAACAGTATGGTCATTTTCACAATATTGATTCTATCCATCTATGAGCATGGAATTTGGTTCCATTTGTTTGTGTCATCCAGGATTTCTTTCATTACTGTTTTGTAGTTTTCCTTGTAGAGGTCTTTCAACTCCTTTGTTAGGTATATTTCTAAGTATTTTATTTATTTATTTATTTGCAGCTATTGTAAAAGGAGATGAGTTCTTAATTTGATTCTCCAGTTGGTCGCTGTTGGTGTATAAAGAGCTACTGATTTGTGTACCTTAATCTTGTATCCGGAAGCTTTGCTGAATTCCTTTATCAGTTCTAGGAGCTTTCTGGAGGAGTCCTTAGGGTTTTCTAGATAAACAATCATATTGTCCGCAAACAGGGACAGTTACACTTCTGCTTTACTAATTTGGATGCCCTTGATTTCTTTCTCTTGTCTGATTGCTCTGGCTAGGACTTCCAGTACTATGTTGAAGAGAAGTGGTGAGAGTGGGCATTTTTGTCTTATTCCCATTCTCAGAGGGAATGCTTTCGACTTTTTCCCATTCAGTATTATGTTAGCTGTGGGTTTGTCATAGATGGCTTTTATTACATTAAGCAAAGTCCCTTGTATGCCGATTTTGCTGTGGGTTTTAATCATAAAGCAAAGATGAATTGTGTCAAATGCTTTTTCTTCATCTATGTAGATAATCATGTGATTTTTGTTTTTAATTCTGTTATCTGGTGTATCACATTTATTGACTTGCTTATGTTAAACCATCACTGAAACCTACTTGATCCTAGTGGATTATCTTTTTGATATGTTGTTGGATTTGGCTAGCTAGTATTTTCTTAAAGATTTTATCATCTATGTTCATCAAGGATATCGATCTGTAGTTTTCTTTATTGGTTGTGTCCTTTCCTGGTTTTGGTATTAGGGTGATGCTGGCTTCATAGAATTTATTAGGGAAGGTTCCTTCTTTCCCTATCTTATGGAATAGTGCCACAAAGAATGGCACCAATTCTTTGAATGTCTGGTAGAATTCTGCTGTGAATCCGTCTGGTCCTGGATTTTTTTTTTTGTTGTTCTTGGTAATTTTTAAATTACGATTTCAATCTCACTGCTTGTTATTGGTCTGTTCAGGGTATCTAATCTTTCCCGATTTAAGCTAGGAGGGTTGTACTTTTTCAGGAATTTATCCACCTCTTCTAGGTTTTCTGGTGTTCACAGAAGCCTTGAATGATCTTTTCTATTTCAGTGGTATTAGTTTTACTATCACCTGTTTTGTTTCTCAGTGAGGTTATTTGGATTTTCTGTCTTCTTTTCTTGGTTACTCTTGCTAATAGTTTATCAATTTTATTTATCTTTTCAAAGAACCAGGTTTTGTTTCATTTATCTTTTGTATTGTTTTGGCTTCAATTTCACTTAGCTCTGTTCTGATCTTGGTTATTTCCTTTCTTCTGCTCTGTTTGGGTTTGGTTTGTTCTTGTTTCTCTAGTTCCTTGAGGTATGACCTTAGATTGCACTCTTTCAGACTTTTTGATGTAGGTGTTTAGGGCTATGAACTGTCCTCTTAGCACCATTTTAGCTGTATCCCAGAGGTTTTGATAGGTTGTGTCATTATTGTTGTTCAGTTTAAAGCATTTTAAAATTTTTATCTTGATTTCATTTTTGACCCAATGCTCATTCAGGAGCAGGTTACTTAATTTTCTTTTTTTTTTTTTTTTTTTTTTTTTTTGAGACGGAGTCTCCCTTTGCCGCCCGGGCTGGAGTGCAGTGGCCGGATCTCAGCTCACTGCAAGCTCCGCCTCCCGGGTTCCCGCCATTCTCCTGCCTCAGCCTCCCGAGTAGCTGGGACTACAGGCGCCGGCCACCTCGCCCGGCTAGTTTTTTGTATATTTTTT